AAATAGGAAAAATTTAAAAATAAACAGTAGCAGTTGAACGCTTTTTCTTTCGTAGCCTTTCCCATACATCTGTATATTATAAAATATAACAGCATATGTCCATTTAAGGTCAGTCAGTGTCTTATGTTGTTTGTTCCATAAAAGCACTATTGCAAATGTGGCATAAGTAATAAATGGAAAGAAAACAAATTCTCTTTGTATGAAGAAATGCTTGCACATCTGTTTTCGAGAAAATGTTTTATCGTATCCAACCCTGGTAAAATGATGTAAGTGTTTGCTTAATTGGGGGTGTTTAAGTGTAGAAGGACACAAAAGAAATAATACAGCACTTGTTAAGATGAGCTGAAAGTTCCTGTGACAAGGTAAAGGCTCAAGGTAAAGTGGCCTGTACTGAAATAATTGCAAATTCTAAATAAGGTTTTCAGCTTTTCAAGCAGAAAACCTATCGCTCACCATTGCTCTGAAAGTTATTTGTCTCAAATATATTTTAATGCTTAGGCTGCATTATGTTTACTAATTTAGATGATTCCACCCAGAAATAAATTCTTGGTACCAGGTTTACATTTAGTATCTATAAAAATATAAGGAAGCCATCGTGGTAAATCAAAATCCCAACAAATAATTATTAGACCTCTACTATGCTGCAGGCATATAAAATTGAATTTTAAAGTAAAGCGTTAAGAAAAAATAATTGAGACCTCTAACACCCTCCAAAGGGTAGACTACAAAACAGAGAAGGAAGTAAAGATATTATTACATCTTGAGCTTTCTACTCAATCGTAGAATAAAAACAGAATAGGCTTTGGAGTTAGACCAAACTGAGTTCTAATCCTACTTGTATAATCACCAGCTGTAGGATCCTAGTCAAGTTGCTATAAAACAGAGATGATCATGCTGCATGGATTAAATAAGATAATGTATACAAGGTGCCTAACATAGTCCTTGCATCCTTGTAGATGCCCAATAAATAAGGAGATTTTTCATTAAATATGTTGTTAGTAACATCAACTGCAAACTATTAACTCTGTTGCCATTTTTTAAATTTTCTGAAGACACTACTCCTGTACTCAGCATATGAAAAATTCTTAGCAAATGCTTGCTGAATGAATGAGCACCGAATGAGCCCTTACACTGTGAGGGGGCATGCAGCAAAGCCCAGACAAGATTGAAACACTTCCATCTGCCTCTGTCCCTCTGAGAAGGATCTCCTAGGAAAGAAGTTTTACTTTTTTTGTTGCTTCTTGTTGCTGTTGTTGTTTTACATTTGCAGTTGTTTAAATACTTTAAGAGCAATGTAATTTTTTTTTCTCCTGACTGCTAGCACCATTCCCAGAGACAGATCTAACTTTTCCATTCTGTTATTAAATCATTAAGTCATAAGATAGTATTACGATGTTCCAAAGTTCTGCTTATATGGTCCCAAGAGATTCATGTCAGGTTGGTAGAGCAAACACTGCCAGGTGCTTGGGCAGCAAGCCAGGTCCAACTCCTGATAACGTCATGACTCTGGGGTGAGAACAGACTCCATAGGTTTCTCTGTCTCTAATCTCCTTTAAACTAATAAGCTGTTTCCCACTTTCTGCCCTCATGATTGACATTCCTGAGTTCTCCATGGCATGTTAACAATCACTTAGTCATCATCTATCGTAGTAAGACCAGGCACTGTGGTGAGATCAAACATGAAAGAAACTATGAACAAGTGGTTCTGGACCTGAGTCCTGGCTTTGACCTGCCATTAGTAAGTTAGATGACATGTAGCATACATTTCATCTGGTTCTCAGCTTTCCCCTTTCTTGAAGGAGACAAGATGTGGATCATTAAAATCATGGGCTTTGCAGTAAAAAACGTGGGGCGGCTTCACACCTTGTCTTTCCCATTTAAGAGCATTGTAACTTAGTACAAGTTATTTAACTGCTACTTTCAATATCTCTGTTTCTTGTTTTATGAAATGCATAAAATAATAACATAGTGGTTTCTTCTTCTTCTGCCTCTTTCTTTTCCTCATCCTCTTCTTCTTCTTATCATTATCATCATTATTCTAAAATTATCCAGTATTTTTCATGCCTAAAATTATAATACTCTATAAGACCTCTGTCTTGTTTACATCATAGTATGGAAGTCAGGATTATACAGCAATGAATTAGAGAACAAAAACAGAAAATATAATTGAGATATAAAAGAAGTCAGAGGTTTCCACAGACCCACTCAGTCCTAAAAAATCATCAGAGGAGTTAGGAACTACCAAAGGTAATGTAGGAAAACAAAGTGGATGTAATATAAAGGTAAAGAAATTAATACTAAATAAAGATATCTAATCCATTTGGAATGCTAGAACACTCATAAACATAGGAAACCAGGCATTTCAATGAGTTTATATTGTATGAGTAGAAACCACTTTATATATTGGATGCATTTCCCCAACATATGCAAACAAATTTTACATCTTCAAAAACACACAATATCATATTTACTAATTCAGATTGATTCCATCCAGAATAAATTCTTGCTAGCAGGTTTACATTTAGCATCCACAAAAGTATAAGGAAGTCATTATCATAAACTGGGAATTTGAGCCTATATCTATAAATTAGATGTGCACTTCTTGCCCCTTTAAATTTTCTGTAGGAAAAAAATATCTCATGCACTTGATCTCCAGTTCAAAGCACATATGACACAGAAGCCACATTAAACCATGGTACTCTGTGGAACCAGTTTGAGAATTTAAAATTGGAATCATCTGCTAAGGAGCCCCCAAAGGGGCAGTGAGCACAAGGAGAATCATAAGATTTAGGGGAAGCTAAAACACACCATGAAAAAAAAGCAACTTTCCTATCAAAGAATGGTGCCTATGAATACGATCTTTTTTTTTCCTGTTAATTTGTTTTACAGAAATCTGAAAATTAAATTGCTTTAAAATTAACAACTAGAATATAAAAGGCAAAAAAGTCAGAAATAATCAGTGCATAGGAATATTAAACAAAACAAAATGAAACAAAAATGCTTCTTACCCCTGACCTAATGTTCTTCTAACTCAATACCTCAGAGACAGTCAGTGGAAGGAAGATAAATTACCTCAGAAATAAAAAACAACATGTACGAGAAATCAAAAGGCTATGATAAATCTATAATCTGTCTGGTTCATAGGGAGAGAAAACCACACATTTGGCAAAGCACAAAAATGGGAGAAATCATAACCTAGCCATTTCAAAACTGTTTTCTAAAATTATTTTTTGAGAAAACTCAAATATTTTTTAATATTTTTCTCCTTTTATACAATCAAGATAAAATGACTAGGAAACAGGGGTATTAAAATTAGAAGTATAAATTTGTCTTGCTGTCAACTAAATCAGAAATTTATATATTTCTTTTTTCCTCCAACGGTAGTACTCTAAGCTTGACCCTTCTCTGTTTTTATACTCTCTCTAAGGTATTCTGTATGTTTACACTAATTTTCATTTCACTAAGCCTTTCTGGTCCTCTGCTTCCTGTTTCAAACCAGTGTCTAAATGTTGCACCACTGTGTAGTGTCTAAATGTTGCACCACTGTGTAGTATACTGCTGATGTTAATGACCATTATGATATAATCGATACTGTGGTTTGTGAGTCAGCAAGATGAGGAAGAAAGTGCTATGCGTCTGACCTAGAAAACATGTGGACTGCCAGTAGCCCTAAGTTAGTTCAATGTTTGACATCTCATATCATGAATCCAGGGCATGTAGGTCAGATCCAACAGGTCATGCTGGAATGATGATATTTTCTAGGGTATCAGTGACATTGCTAGCCAGCCTTTTCAGCTGGCCCCTTTACACTTCACACTGAAAATAATAGCAGCAGCAAAATTTTATTGGGAATAACATCACAAAACTCTAAAGATTTTTATATGTTTTCCCAAACAAAATGCATCCGCACCAACACCAGATGTTTAAGAGGCACAACCTAAACAAAGCTGGAGAGGAGACGGCAGCCTCACTAGAACCCAACAACACTCATTTCTCTGCTTGGCGTGTTGCTTATGTTAAATTATCCTATACTATCAAATCAAATGCAGAGCTGTAAGGATCAGGAAAAATCAGAAAAAGAGAAAGGCAGGAGTATAAATTCCAGCATAAGCCACAGCATCCTTACTGAAATAAATTGTTGGCTATAAGTGGGTTCTTGGAGGGAAACCGGACAAACAAACTGGAGACATTGTCTGGTTTCCTGAAAGTGGTCTCTATGTATCATCAAAATTAGACCTTCTAAATATTTACAAATAGTGTTCTATATAATTTTTATATTCATTCATACAATACAAATATTGCAAGGTAGTATTCCCTATGTATATATAATTATACAATATTATACAGAAAACAGCAAAATATTGTTTTCAAATTTATTATGAATTTAAAAAGAAATATTTATCCTATTTAATACCCTTTTCAGGATTAAAATACTCTGCAACATCCTAAAGATTGTTGTTTCACCACCTATATGAAAACAAATTGCATTCATCTCACAATTAGCTGTGATCGTTGTCTGTTTCAAGTGAGTCCGTTTTAACTTATAAGTGTTTTATATTTAAGAGTATAACAACAAAATAGGCTGAAAAAAGAATAAGCTCCTTACTCTCTATCATCATAAAGCTACAATATTGACTCTTACATATTTCCAACCTAGAAACTTACTTGATTTAAAAAGTATTTTGATAAGTAATAGAAAAATTATTTAATAGCATGATCATAATTCATAGTTCCTTCCTTACTTTCAAAGAATTTCATCACTTTAATGATAATGTAATATTGTTTTTCCTACAAGGACTAATAACATTTCATAAGCTGAAACCTGAACTTGAATGAGAACTTGAATAATCACTGCTTCGCTATAACTTGTTCAAGTGGAGAACAAGCTATTTGAGAGTTGACGTCTAACGTCTGTAAGAAGTGTGACTTTCAAACACCCTGGCCATCAAAAATTATCACAGCTTATTAACTGTAACAGTTTCTGCAACCAAGAGACCCACCTCAGACTCAGGGCCAGCAGTTGCTCCTTCGACTTCAGCAGCTCCCCCACTTTAAAACTGGCATAACCCAAGAAGCTTTTCTGAAAATGAGAGAAAAAAGAACGGTTTTCATTAACTTTCTGAGGATCTTAATACTTTTGTTGAAAAATGAAATATTAAATCTATTAACCTGACAAATATTTCACTGACAGATACAATTCTCAGTAATATATCCATCTCCTGGGGTAGGGTTGAGAGGTGAAAATGTATCATGCTCGTTAAACACAAAGCAACTAATAACCTAGAAAATAACAAGATGTAAAATGACAACACCCAGGACTTTGCCAACAACTATAACTTTCTCCACATGTGAAAACTGAGGTAAGAGAAAAGATGATAAACTTTCGATATTTACCAATGCTGTCGTTTTTCTTATCAGAATTCCTCAAATCACTGGCAGCCACAATTTGTATTCCAGATATGAGCAAATCTGTTAGTTGGAGCTATTTTTATGTGGGACTCTGTACAAGTTATAAATAGAAATGCTGTATTTCTCCCCCATCACGGCAACGTTTAAAAGCATTTGTTTCCTTTGTTATTTCTTTACTAGCATGGGGCAATTTCATTCCAATACACAAAAATGAATGGTACTTATTCAGTTACATTTTCTAAAATTGCTTTTTTAGCCTATTATACTGGGTGTTGACTATGAATACCTGCTTTCTACTCTTTTTTTTTGACTCAGTGTAAAGAATAAAACACCAAATTGTTTGTTTTTTCTTTTCCAGAATAAAAAAAAATATTCTTTCATCTCTTTTTAATATCCTTAGATACTTCTAATCTAAAAGTCACAATATTATCGTATAAATAACATAAACAGGATTTTTCATTTACTTACCTTAAGGTCAAGGAGTAAACATGAAAATATCAAACCCCTATTATTACCTAGGCTGCTGCTGTCTAACACAATGTAACACTCTACAAGAAGTCAATGCAACATCTTCCAGAACATTCTCTTATCACGGGTCTGCTGCTGGGCTGCACTAGAATGAGGGGCTGGACTTAAGGAATCTGAGGTCAGTTGGATCTTTTTAGAAGTAAATAGGAAATTGTTCCACACTGAGTGATTGTTGGGCATGGGGGGAAAAAAGCCTCAGGTCAGAATTCTTCTCCCTCTTTTCAAAACTCTAATTTAGAAGAGCTGGTTCTAAAAGGTTAAAGTCAAACATCTGAAAATACAACTCCGTTCTAAAGTTGGAGATGCTTCTACATTCCTAATGATAAATCCCGAATCAACTTGAAACTCAAAGAGCTGGTTTAGACATGAAGTTACCAAAGCCTGAAAAATCTGAGATTAAATTATTAGGTGAAAAACATTAGACAAAAAATAGAGGATGTGTGAAAACAAGCTCTGATGCAATATCCATGAGAGATGAAGTGAGAGTGGATCAAAGCAGAGAAGGAAATTCAGGAGCTGTACGCACAGGGCACACAGAAATTAGGGAGACTTTTCAGCAAGGGACAGAGAGAGCCTAGGAGAGAACCCACTGAACACAAGCACTTATGTCTCCTCATCAGAGATGCCCCTGGAACATCCCTCTATAAAAGACTACTCCCCTTTCCCACATAGACTTTCTATTATTCTCTATTCCTTACCCTGTTTTATTGTTCTTCTCCGCTGGCACTTACCACCTGATATATATTTAATTGTTTTGTAGCCCTTTAAAAAGAATAATAGAGAATTGAACCCCCAGAGGAGCTTTACTTTGCTTTTTGATAACCCCTGCCTAGCACACAGTAGGCACGTGATAAATATAGACTGACAATGAATGAAAGAATGGCATAGACACTAGCTTTCAAGTAAGTTATTCCATTATTATAGATATAGGAGAAATGCTCCTTCTGCAGTTATTTATAAACTATTGTAATTCACTGAAATGTAGAAAATCAAAATAATTTTATGGTGTGCAGATTGTATACTGTGGTAGTGAATTTCAATTTAGCACTTTATATTTTAAAGAGCTGTCTATCTCACTTTCCTTTTCACTGATAATCAGGGTTTTTAATTTAAATTCCCATCCCTCACTCACTACTCGCACTCAAAAAAAAAAAAAACCTCTTAACCAATCATAAATTTCATGATGCCTTAAAGTTTCAAGTTATTTTCTATTTGCCTTTTGAGATGTTTTTAGATGTGGAGGATTTTAGAATTAATAAAACAAACTACAATGTCATGAGATTATTGCAGTCTTTTCATCAGTAAAAGTAGCAAACACCCTAGACTAGACTGTGGCAACCAGAGACAGGTGGAGTCGCTATTTTCGGACATAAGCTACAAACACACCATAAGGCACAGCTGCAAGTAAAATTTATGACCACAAGCTATTGAACGCTTCTCCTGTCCACCAGAGCAGGAACTCCTGCGGAAGCAGGACCTTGGCTTGTCCATCTCCTGGCCAAGCCCATTGTCTGGCATAGGGAGCTCCACTGTGGGTGCATGCAGTGTGCCAAGAACAATGTCCATGAGTCAGGCTTTGACATCGCGACGGTCAGCCACATGCTTGATCTCAAAGGATAATGAGCGCGCTTACAGAAATAATACAATCAGTTGAAAATCAATTTTGCCATTGCACCAAAGCATTACGTTATGAAATCTTGTCAAAGCAGAAGAGGTGTTATTTAGGCATAAATGTTATCTTATTTATTCTAGAAATAACTGTACACTGGGACTACATGTTGTATAAAATGCATTAACAAAATCCAAACATTTAAAGACAATCTATATTTGTTTTACCCTGCAATACCAAACAATGGAATTTCCTATATGTTTACTTTCTAGCAGGTTTTTATTTGTTTACCTCAGTATAAATAAAAATAGGATCCTCCAACCCCTGAAATCAGAAAACAAATTGTCTATCTAGGTGGATATTCAGGGGACACAGTGTAACAGAATGAATTAGAAAACAGTCTTCTCTATAGAACATGATGCTAATGTAAAAAAATACCTTGATATAGATCTATTTTATCTTTGCTATCACTGCAATCATAACCATAGAATTTAAAAGAATTTCTTTCTTTATTTATTTATTTATTTTTGTATTTCAAATATAATTCAAGGGGCAAAGTGTCCATATCTTCTCTGGTGCTGTTTCTATCGGAGGAAATAAATACAAACAAAAAAAGTAAAGCCTAAATAGAGTTGGAGTTCAGAGGTCTGAGTGTGGTCCTGAATTATTCTGTCCAAAAATGGAAATCTGGACAATTTCCCAGCTCCTGGGCTCACACCCCACTGATAGGTCTTGTCAGCTCTTCTTTCCCTGTCTTCTCTCTTACGAAGTCTGCGCTCTTGGACAAGTCGCTCCACTAATCTAGGTTTTAGTTTCTGGCTGAAAAAAAAATTACATATGATAACTGTACCTTTCTCATAGTTACTGTCATAAGAATTAAAGTAACCCAGGCAAAGCATCTAGCACATTGCCAGGAAAATAGGAAGTTATGCCATAAATACTGGCTTGCATAGTGATTAAGGTGATACACTCACCAGTCAGATCCTTAAATGTATCTGATATCCGGATTAAATACTCTTTGGAAAAGCCAAAGTATTAAAAAGAAGAAGAAGAAGAAGTCTATGAGAAATGCCAGGAATACAAAAAGAAAAATATTTGTTTAAAAATAAAAAATAGATTTAGGGAAAATACAAATTAAAAGAAATTCTAAATAAAATATTTAAAAAGATACAAGGGCTTTAAAGTCCTATATAGTTGTTATTATTGAGACAATGTTACCTATGATTCCTTATAGCACAAACTTGTGTTAGATCATGTGGAATGTCGAAAGAACCTTAAGGATGGCTACAGCGTTGCTAATCTGTAGATGAAGGAATTGGGGCCCCTGAGAGTGAAGTGGATTACACATGTCACAGGACTAGTTAGTATGCAGAGGCCAAATTAGAGCCCAGGTTTCTTGCTTTTCTGTCCAGCGTTCTTTTAACCCCACCACGCTGTGCCTCATTTCCAGGACAGGTGGCAATTCTTTCCTTCTGACAGCTTTTCTGCCTACACGACATGCAGCTCTAACCTTTCTTGCCTGCTCATGACAAGGGAACACTCACAGTTATTATTCTGGTGCAAGAACCCCAAAGCAGATGATCATTAAATTGCTTGATGCACGATTTCAATCACTCACCTGGCTGGAGAGTAATGGCAAACAGAGTGGGGAAAAGTGGGGCATCTGTCATAATCCCTGGCCTCTCTCTACGGGGAGCATACACGCAAACAGTTTATTCTGCCAGCCCCTGCAGGGACTCTGAGCAAGTCACAGATACCCAGACTGCTCACCAGGGGTTGTCACCTCCATGTGGCAGTCCTCAGTGGCTCCCTGATCACCATTAAGGGAGTTGGAGGACGTACAACCCCATAACATTGTCACAAGTTGGCCAAACCTCCATCACTCATGTTCATCTCACAAAGCCTTTATTCAAAGTTTAGGTTTCCTTTATACTACAATTTGCATGGACCTCAAATTTTTCCCACTGCTGTTCAGAGCTGTACTTTCCAATGGGTAGTCACTAACTTGAGCACATAAAATGTGCCTACTCCAAGTTGAGCTGTACTCTAAATGTAAAATACACACTGAATTTAGAAGAGAGTATGAAAAAAGGAATATGAAATATATCACTAATATTTCTATATTGGTTATATTTTGAAATGATAATATTTTGCACATATTAGGTTAAATAAAATATATCAAAATTAATTTAACCTGTTTCTTTTTACTTTTTTAAAAAACATGACTACTAGAAAATTTAAAATTGTGTATGTAGCATGTATTTTGTGGCACACATTATATTTTTATTGGATACTGCTGGTTTAGAGGTTAAATGATTATGTCAATAATATTTGGACTCATTCTCATAAAACTGTATATAGGAACTATGATGGAAATTTCGGAAGGTTTTTGGGGAGCTGAAGTTGGTATCATAAGGCTGATACACAACATCTCACACACACAATTTATAGGCAGGCCTCTTTACATAGTCAACCATAACAGATATGGTGACATTGTTTTCCACCCCATAGGAAGAGAACGAGAATAAAGGAACTATCAACATTAAAAATGACATCAAAAGGAAAAAAATAATTGTGAGGAAATCTATGAAAAGCTGATGAATAGCTCAAGAAAAGATTAAAAAGCACTTTAAGGAAAAGTCATTTATTATAAAATTATATCTTTACTGTGAATATAGTTCAAAAGGTCTAAGAGCACATACTGGTATCTGCTTGACTAAGTCATCAAGAATATATTTGAATGTATCCAGTAAATGCTGTTTAAGAATGTATGGAAATAGATGTAAGATATTTGAAATATTTACAATGGAAAACATTTCAGCTCTTTTTTTTTTTTAATTAGAGTACTTAAAGACTAGAGTCCTTAGCATGTTGTAATGATAGACCCATTGCTAGCTCCATGTCCTTGGCCAAGAGCTTAAACTCTCAGACCTATTTTGCAGTGTCCAAAGAAATATTTTGAGGAATAACTGATAGTATATATATTAACCAGTTGTACTTCATAGGTGCTCAAGATGTGTTAACTCTTCCCTGTCAAAAATAACATAGAATCTGAGGATGTTAGGAAGCCAAGGAATGCTGACTTGTTTCCTTTTTAGGCTCATTTATACTATGCTTGAAATTTAGTTCTGAAGTCACATATGCCATTTTATTGAGTTCTGATAGGTCATAAAATGTGCTAGATTTTTACTATATTATTATTGTATTAACACAATCATTTCTAGACTGCCACCACTGTTTTTTTTCTGGTGATTCTAAAAAATATAAAACGATTGGCAAGACAAAATCATGACACGCTTCTTGATTCATTCAATACATATATCACATATTTGCTAATTTCCAGGCACAAAGCTAGGAATATTAGAGTGAACAAAATAAACAGGGACTTGGCTATCACGGAGTGTAACATCTAGCAGGAGTGTGGAGACATTGCTAATTGTCTACCAAATACCCATTCTGCCCAATTTTCATTGCTCATAGCACCTTGATGTTGTTTAAATGGGGAATACCCTCTAGCTAGGGGCTCAGCTCTTCCCAGTGACATGTGAGTGGCAGTAAACCAAGATTTCCCAGGAAGTTATTGTTTTCCAGAATTGAAGGAACAGGTCAGCTGATCTGAGCTTCTTGCCCTTTACTCTTCATTTGACCTGGAATGTGATATCTGGAGATGCAATGGCCAGACTGTGCAATACTCTAAGAAAGGAGGAGCGGGAAGATGGACAGAGTCTGGCTGCTTGAAGTCATTTTTTAGTAGCTGCAGCCCTGAACAGTTTTTCCAGGACTTCATATAACATGAAAAAAAAAAAAAAAAAAAAAGACTTCTTAATTACTTTTAAGCCACAGTTTGTCAGGTTACTTGCCTCAAAATGCATTCCTAATTGCTACAATAGGCACATCATGGGATGTCAACTGAGATTTCTCTTTTGGTCCAGAAATTATAGGCGAGTCTTTATCAAGATAAGGACACAATATACCAAATGTACCCCATTATGAATTCAAAGAACTGCCAGTGTTTGGGGCCAGCAATCTCACTATGATGCTTAATGAGGAGCCAGTTGAGAGACGCTGGCCCATAAGTAACAGTAACATACCCCACCCAGTTAATATAAAGGTAAGGCTAGAAAAGAGGGGAGGTCAGCATACTGGGAGATACACTAGCTCTACCTTAACTTTGTCCCCAAAGCCAAAGCCAAAGCCAAGGGGTCAGTTACCAAAGACTCACTTATAAAGCTTGGAGGTTTCCAAACCATCTTTCCCTGCAATGGGGGCTGATGATTGTCTCTTGTCTGAGAACCAGTGATTGCTATCTAGTACCTGAGGCTGCTGGGGCTTGTAGAAAGGGTCAGCAGAGAGATGGCTGAGCTGAGAGAGGAAGCACACACAGTGCAGCAGCCTACATTTCTTCCACGTGGCATGGCAAATACATGTGAGTTTCACATGCAACAAGGAGACAGCACAGAAAGTGGCTGGAGTCATGTGCTTGAACAATGGATTTCACAGCAATAGCGTGTAGGGTGCAGGTGGGCAGTGGAGGACGTTGGCCCAGAACCAGACCCCCCATGGTAGGGAAATATGCCTTAGGGAGGACCTGACAAGCCCCCCAGAAATATCTACACACGTGCCCCACGAGAGAGCCAGCATTCCTGCATCTGCCACACATAGCACTCTGGTAGGCGGCATTAGCCTGAGAAGCATCAAATCCAGCAGAAAGGAAACCTCACTCTCTCTCCGTGGGCAAACACAGACTGCACCTCTGTCTGTCTCTCCTTCCTCCTCACCACAGCAGCTGAGTAACAAGAAGAGGAAACAGAGGACATGCGTGGGACTCAGATCATGCTTCCCCCACCCTGCACGTTGCTAGAGTCACAGAAAGTCTAGCCAGTAGTGGGAAATGGTGGGAGGAAGAGGTGACAGAAAATAAAATCGAAGAGACTCAACGTTTAAAATGAGTAAGATGGATTCCCAAGAACCTGTGAGGTTTTTTTTTTTTTTTTTAAGAAGAGATTTACACAGGCCAAGATATCATTAAAGCTTCAGGCAAAGGGGATTCAACACAGGAGTAGTTGGGAGAATGGAACTTAGAGGAGAAAAAATTAAATCAGCTCATCCTTCTTGAGCCTCAATAAATAAATGGTAAAATAATGCATTAGCCATATTAATGGCTACACATTTTAAAGGGTCTCAGCGTTTCATGAGGCAGTGTAAAGGGTGTGATGAGTGTGTACCCTGGAGGATGAGAATCTAGTTTGCAGGGGTGCGTGAGGTGGAAGCAGTGGAGGCCAGCAGCGAGCTGAGCCCTGAGCAGGGGAGGGAGCCAGTGGGGAGCAGCAGTCCAGGCCAAGAGAGGGCTTGTGCCTGTGTCTGTGAAGGCTTGAGGCTGGGGAGGACCTGCTGAGCCCTCTGAAGGCCTGTGTAGTCTGAAAACAGAGATTGGTGGAGGAAGAGACAGCAGAACAAGAGGTGTCAGGGCCAGGCAGAAAACAAAGTGAAAAGGTTCGCTTGTATCAAAGGAGTTAATTAACCTGTTCCCAGGAAGAGACAGGAAGTTTGTGTTGGGCATGAGAGAGCAAGCACACACTATGCTTCTCCTTCTTCTGCACCACCAAATGCAGAGATAGACGACATTCTGCTCAGTCCACTCAATGCACACCATGGTGCATATTTTTGGAGCGCTCCCTCTGCAGGTTTGGGAAGTGGCTGCTGTCAATGAGAAAATGAGCAGTACCTAGTGCCGGGCTCCGCACACTAACTGGAAGAAGGTTGTCAAGTGCCTTGTAGGCTTTCAGGGATATTTCAAATTGCGCTTTCAGTTGGCTCAGCTCCTGGGCTTCTTAGACTCAATTTACTTCCGGACTTTTTCTGCCTCTCTGAACACACAGATTGCAGGGATTCAGCCTGCTGAGCTATATCTTTTAGGAGCTGCCACCCGCTACTCTAGCCTTGCCTAAGCAGAAAGCACCTAGTACCCTCTTGCTCCTCTTCCAACTTGTGAAGGCTGGCGATGCGATGTTCAGATGCAGCAGGAAAACCTCAGAAGGATTTTCCACCGATGGCCTGAACAGTGGTGGCAGCCTCTCTTTTGACCTTCATTACAGTATTTAAGCAGCAGGAAGCAGAAGACATCACAGTTCTACGGCTGGTTCTCTTCCCCTTTCCTGAAGCGGTAGCGATCACATCTGTAATTTCCCTAGCCTCCTGTTGGTCCAGGAATGTTGGCTCTGAATTGTAATTCAGCTACTTGCAGGGTAATGTCTAGGCTTCCCTCTAGCAAGCCGAACTAAATATGAATTCATTTGAGGATGATTTTTCAGGAGACAAGGAATGAATTCCATGCAATTCAGAAAATACATGACAGTGCCTCCTCAAATAGTCACACCCTGTTAATTTAACTCAATTTCATTTGTCAGCTGCCAGGCAGGAGGCCAGAGAAAATCCAAAGGATTAACTTAGAAGCAACGCGTGTGCCTTTTGGAAACATATGAAACACTTACCCCAACTTCTGGCGGGGGATCCTTATGTTCAGGTAGGACACTGGTTCGAACCTATGGAGAAAAACAAAACATTTTCTATATGACTTTGGGATGGAAATTCGTGCAGAAGCTTCACACAGGTGCTCGGTTTCAATTTCATTCATCTGGTGTCAATCCAGACTGTGTTAATCATTAATAAAGTTACCTGTGTACAACACCTGCTGCAGCACGATGAAGCTGTATTATTATTCCTAAACTTCCTGATTTCTCTAAGGAGGCAGAGTTGCCTAGATTCTCACCCCATCGCTTGCTTATCAAATACAGAGCTATACTGGATTTAGGCAGATCACCTTTCGTCTCCCAAAAAAGCAATCTTCGTTCAACATTCAAAGGAAAGGAAAGAGTTGGTGCAGGGAAAGTAATTCCGTGCATGCTCAAAAAATATTTATTCTCTGAATGAGTGTCCAAACCCACACTCCTTATAGGATACCCCTCCCACTTGAAAATTCTGTGCCAAATTACCAGATACCATCATTTGAATTCATTTGAAAAGTAATTCTCAACTGGGGGAAGGGGAATAGTGTAAAACAACCAGTCATCTGGGGAAGCTCTTCATATAAGTGTTCCAAGTGAAATGTCAACTCCTTAGGTAATCAGTAGACATACATCTTCTACTGAGTGGTGATTCTCAACCCTGGCTTGTGCATAAGAAGCACCTGGGGACCTTTTCCAACTCCTGGTGATCCTCCTGCCCCCAAATATTCTGATTCTAATAAACAGCTACTGGTTCTATGATCGTCTTAAGAAAAAATGTTTCAGATGAAAAAGAAAACTATGATTATCTTTTTCACTTCAGGAAAAAGTAGTAAAAGCAAGAAAAAACATCAAACATAAATCTAGTATGTCTTAATTTGAAATAAAGACGAGATAAACAAGTTAGATGAATACAGAGCAATATACAAGCACACCCTGTTTAACTGGAGAGCATCGGGGCGAGAATGGAGGAATCTGGGAATGGCAGCCCTGGAGCACTCAATGGACCAACATTTTAAGGGGTCATTTTAACAAAAATCCCTTCAGGGGCTTCAGCAGCAAATTATACTTCTCTTAAAATCCCTTCAGTCCTGACATACCTGACTAGACCAGGGCAATTCTCCCAGGTTGAAGGAATGCTTATAATATCCTAATAATGGCAAAAGACTTGAACCAGCCCCTAATGGTCTGCTAATCTTTAACACAATTTCCATTTCCTTGAAAAAAGCTTTGAGCCATAGTAAAATGTGCATTTTAACTTCTACTTTAACTCTCTTTCTTTGTTTCTTTACGACAAATCTAGCACTATCTCTCTTGCACAATTTGTCAGGCATTATAACTTAAAATTGTTCACCAGAGTACAAAACAAATGACAGGAGAGAGCCCAACAGAGAAAACAACACAATTTGTAGAACACAATCAACTCGGGAGTGCATGACAGAGTGCTCACTAGCTAAGAGCATTCACAGTTTCGTAGCTTCATTAACGTTCTTTGGCCCAGATGTACCATTCAGTCTCATTATCTGAAAGTCATCAGCTGGCCTCAAAGGATGAAGATACCACATATAAATAGTAGGCTACAATAGACCATATAGTCTGTATATATGTGGACTATATATATAGTGTATATAAATATGAATTCTTTCTCTCTCCATATACATATATATGGCGTAATGGATTATACATATAGTGAATAAATATCCAAACATGCAACACATACACACATATGTGTATGCATATATACATTATTTTAAGAAAATATTTGACAGCCTAATAACATTTTCCAAAAAGATA